TCTCTCCTCCTCTCTCTCTCTCTTTCTCTCTCTCTCTCTCTCTTCACGTGTCTCTTCGACAACCCATCGCCAGTCTATTTTCTCCTCGTTGTCAACACCTCGCCACCAACCAAACAAACGCTCTTCCCCGACCTGACAAGTTGAGCAAACGCAACACATCTTGATCGCATCAGCCCCGCGGGCTCCGGCAAAATCCTTCCTCTCAACATGACAACATTGCAACACTACAGCCCTACACCACAACAGCCAGCTGAAATGGCCGACCCGGCCACTCAAGACGTCATCATGGCTGCTTCCACCACAGCAGCTCCCATACCACCGCCGCCCACGGAGACGTCTCTTCGCCCTGCAGACGCGGAGCTGCCCTTTCCAGCACCGACGGCCGACGAAGCCCTGACAAATGTCACTGTCGCGCAACCGCCCACCCAGCCAGAGGCAGACCGCATGCCAACGCCAGTATCGGACGAGCCTGGCTTGGAAATCCGGCCTGCGTGAGTATTCTTGTTGTTTTCTTTGCCCTGTTCTTTTGATCCAAATCCTACGCTCTTTTGTTTGAATGACGCCAATACCTCTTTGTCGCCTTGTTTCTGGTTGCAAACACGCTCTCTGCCTGGCGGACAAATCTCGTGACTGCCTACAACCTGCAACGCAGCCCAAGACAAACCAAACTGTGCCACCGCATCAACCACACACACACACACACACACTCACTCACTCACTCACTCACTCACTCTCACTCCCACCGACCCAGCTCCATTCTTGCCCGTTTCTGCATCAAATTCAAAACCACCCTTTCCCTCTGTGCTCTGCAGATCAATGCCCTTGTCACGCCACGCAAGCTGATGAAACACGGTTGCACCTTGTATACCATACCTGCTTTAGGTAACGCCAGTTTTTTTTGTCAAGCACACAGGTTGCAGTGTTTCCTGTTTGCACGGCAGAGCAGTACAAATTTTGTCTTGTCTGTTGTCGATGCCATTCTGACCCGCGACTCGTCTTTGTTCTCTTCATTCTTGAAACACTCAAGTACTTCAGCTGCATCGCCCTTGTTCTCTTCATCGCCTAGTCCGTGAGGCCACCCAAGGCAGCCGGGTTGACGGCCTAATCCTAGGGCCAAGTACCACACTCTCTGCACTCTTACCACGCCCAATGTCCAAGGTGACACGGGACAACGCTGTTCAACCAAAATCTTCGCTGTTGTCTGCTGCCACGACTCCCAACAACGTCTCATCCGACGCAACCAAGTTGGCTCAGGTGGATGACCGTCTAAGCCTAGTGGCTTACACCCCTTGCCATCTTGCATCTTGGCCGCCTTGGTCCACAAAGCTATACCCCAAACCCAGACACCACCGTCTACTGAGCTCAACTCCCCTCACTCACCTCGTTTTTTCGCAAGACTAGGCCCAACTGCTTGCTAACATGACTTCCAGTCCCATTCCGGAACGGCCAGCTGTCATGGACAATGAGCAAGATAGTGAGCTCAGTGATCCCGACAGCACAGTCCGGACACCGCCGCGTGGAACTGAGCCAGAGGAGGAAATCGTGGTAGGGACCAAAGAGATGCAGTTCGCGACGCAGGCCGATGACGAGGGAGACGAGGTCATGAGGGATGCCGACGAGGAACCCGCCACCTCCCACTATCCCAAGAGAAAGCGCACCTCCATTTTCAACGATCTCAGTGAGAGCAAGATTGAGATTCCCACATCCGCCCGCGGCGAGCGACCAGAGCGCACAGCCCTCCCCAGCACCTCGAGCAAGGCCAAGCCGCGAAATACTCTCGGCGGCGTCAAGGGCGTCTTGATCGGCCACTGGAGGGACTCGCCGGTGCCCGAGATTGAGAACCGGCATGCCGTCATTGGCTTCATCGATGTCCGCGACCGGCTGCGCACGCGCATACAACCCATCAACAAGGACGGCGAGACAATCTCCTCCGAGTACCCCCTGCCGCCCGGCCCAGGCGGCAGCTGGGTCACGTTTGACCGCATCTACTTTTCCGATCACCTGGTCGGCCTCGACCACTTCCAAGTCAAGGAATACGTCCGCATGCGCGCCGCCATCTTCGAAGCCACCGACGCGGAGCGCCTCGCCGCCGAAGCGGAAGCCGTCCACCTCGCCACCATCCGCGGCCGCGAGCTCCTGCAGAGCGAGAACCCTGTTGTGGCGCCCCTCATCGCCCACGGCGCCATCCCGCTCGACGCCAACGGCCAGCCGACGATTATCGATGCCAAGCGACGACGGACTAGCACCTCCTTCATCGCCATCGCGTCGCACGACGAGGCTGCTGCCGCCGCCGCCGCCGCCCAGCTGGACCCCCTCCACGGCACGCGACCCACGCGCATCGTGCTGGGCTACTGGCGCGGCTCCAGCGAGGCCCTCTTCCGCGACCGCCACGCCGTCTACGGCATCCTGGGCCAAAACGACATGTTCCGCGTCAAGGTGGTGCGCGAGACGCGCGACGGCCGCTACGTCGACGGCAACTTCCCCGCCGGCGCCGGCGCCCTCTGGATCCACTACGACGAGGTCGAGTTTGAGCCGCACATCAAGACGCTCAGCCGGCCCGAGATCAAAGAATACTGCCGCATCCGCCAGCACCAGATCGACCGCGGCGAGACGGCC